TCATGTGGAAATATTACTGTGACTGCCCACTCATCGTGCCCGATCAGACCTTGCCCAGTGCCATTTCATGAGATGATGCTGACAAGCGGTGGGCTGACGTTCTGCTGGCTGTCAGATGGTGGATTCCCTCCCTCTCCCCCATAATACTCGTGTCATGTTGATTATAGTTGCTCATTGTATGAATTTCAGAGAGAAAACATCTTCATCACATCGAAAGTGTGGAACACATTCCACTCAGCGCAAGCCTGTGAGGTCAGAATTTTTGATTATCGTACGAAATTTGACACTGAGACATGTTCAACGAGGGATGAGGCTAGGCAAAGCTTCAATGGAGTTTAGAGAAAGCAAATGCATACACTCAGTCGAAATCTTACTGTAACTCCATTGCGTGAAGAGAAGGATTTGTGTGCGAAGCGCTCTTGTGATTGGCTAGTTATGAGCAACAGCCAGTCACAGGGAGAGCTCACACATCAGCACTGCACTAGTGTTGTTGGACTTGACGATTTTTTCAGGAGCACGTAAATGAAATCTTGAATCAACTACAGCTGGAGTATATTGATCTGATGCTCATTCACTGGCCACATGGATACGAAGAGGGTGGCGAGCCGTTCCCTAAGGTACAGTTTATTTGTAACTCGTAGATTTTGAGCTTATGAATTCGAAGATTTTGAGCATATGGAAAAGATCACGGGTTAAACTTCTGTACATTTATACTTTCAAGAAGTATCCCCTTCCCCTGCTCATATTCTTTGGAATGGGTATTATCCAACCTATGACCAACCCTTTTTTGGGATGCGGCAGGCACTCTATGATCTTCGATTATGAAATGGGATTCTACAGTTCAGAATCGTAGCAGGCACTTTAATGCCCCATTACCGGCAGACTTACTTGTGGGGGCCAGCCGATATAATACAAGCCATTGTTTTTACCACCCCCTCCCCCCACCTCCACGTGAGTATGGTACCAGTTCAACCGCTTCCGATGGATGGAGGGCTTGGTGGATTCTAGTCTAATTCTGGTCTGGTACGGATTGGTCGGGAATTCATGGCTGCGGAGGGATAGAAGGCCTGGTTGGCCTAGCAAGAGCGAGCTCAGTCTTCTTAGGGTGTGCCACACCGTTATTTGCGCCCACGGTTATCTCTTTCGCAAATCATTACAACGTTAGCCTTGATCCCTTCGGCATCAGTAACATCTCAAAGGATAAAACAGTGGATTTCTTGCGGGTGATGCGACCCCAATGCCAGCAAAATATGACTAAGTTCGATGGGATTGCTCAACAATTTCAGTCACCATTAAACAGTGCGATTCTGTGTGTGAATATAATTGGAAAACTCGTGCGCACGCCAAATCGAGCGCCGCGAAGCTTCATATGCTATCTTGTAGTGGTTTTACGCATAGACGCCATTCGCCATACTTTAGAGGCCGGACAGTGACAAGATGAAATATTCGGATGTGGACTATCTGACTACATGGAAAGTGTTAGAGGACTTTGTAAAAGAAGGCAAGGTATGTTCAGTACGTTTCAAGTTGCTGCAAGTTCGGTGGTGAAATAGAGGCTCTCGTTGTGGTCACTTGTATTCCACTCCAAATGTACGAATAGAGGGAATTTTTACGTTTTCTCCACCATCTACATAACGTTAAGGGCACGATCCGAGCTTATCGTGTGGGCGGGGACGGCTGACCATTGGCGCTGCTCAATTGGTACGGCCGTTCTTCTAAACACAAGAAGGAGAGGCGCCTTCACTTCTACTCATCTTTTTCGAAAAAATCTTCTGCAGCATCCGCAGCATTGGAGATCAAACTTCTAATCACCAAACAAATCGAACGACCATAATTGGACAACTGTACTGTCAGCCAGCTGTAATTGCGGTAGGACCGACATTTTTTGTGTCTGTCAAATTCCAGGGAAATTTGTGCGTCCGCTTGAGTGAGCTGGTTACTAGTTTGTGTGGGAAAATTGCAATTCCAAGGGGGCATGGGAGCTTCGCGGTGGGGGGGGGGTCCTTTTCACATACTGAAATTTTCCGCGGATGCTGCAGTCATATTCGGAAAGAACAATCTTTCATCAAACGAGAGGGTGTGGAAGCGTGGAGTGGAACGCAGCCAGACCAACCTTTTGCTCCATTTGTTAGGGTCTTTATCTTCCCACGTTATTGGTGGAAAAAGCCGCTCGCCCTGCGAACCAATCCGCGCCCTCACAAACGCCTTTGCTTATCGCGAGCGGGCACCCCGTTGCAAGCGGCGGGTAGCAGGATCGTACGCGATAGTCCTAAGGTCCTAAAAGGATATGTCTCTCAGCCGACTAACGGCTCGACATACATGCAAATTTCCAGCCTTCGGTCGCAAAATTTTAGAAAAATTTTCCGGCATAACTAAAGTTTCATAAAGATGGTGCGAGTAGGGTTCAGGGCATCGGACCTGTCCTATTCAACAGTTTTTGCTCCAGTCTTGATTAGATAACAAACATACAATTAAACATCACCAAAGTTTGTGAAGCTGAGTAGAGGGAAAGTAGAAACCCTGATTATTCCTTTGCTCAGCTTCACAAACTTTGGTAAGACGATTGTTATAATCGCTACGATTCTCTGTGGAACACAAGTTCATGGCGTATTCACGCTGTTGTCTGGCCACACGAACGCACGATCCATTATACTGGAACACTTTGTACGGTTTGGGAACTCGCATCCGCGTACTTCCAACAGAAGAAATTACGAGAGTTTTGTAAAGAACACGATATTGCTGTGACTGCTTACAGGTATTATTCGTTCGTTACGATTTTCTTCACCGATGGTTTCTAAACTGCGATTTTCGTGGAAATCTTCCGTTTTGATAGGACATAAATCAATTTTTCAGCTCCCTTTCCAACCCTGGCTCGGCATTCTTCCGCAAAGCCGGTGATCCAAACCTTCTGACGGAGCCAGTTATAAAGAAGATTGCCGCTGCACATAATAAAGTGAGTGGAGGGGCATTGAACCAGCTGTTCGACTTCGTGTTCTCCGTGTCTTGTCAATCGCTTGCACATTTTCGCCATTTCCCTCTTCAATATGTTTCACCCTGTAATGACCTCAGTGAGCTTTTAGAATGACCCCAGTGAACTCTTCTGGTAAGCTCCTTTTTACTTTGGGAGGTTCGGTGTAGACGCTGACAATTTGTGATTCGTAAGGCTCCCCGAAGCTCTGAATACTGTCAGTTTTGCGGTTTTGGCAGGACGCAGAGGTGGTGTCATGGCAAGTGGCACGCTATCCATACGAGCGGAATAGCTTCCGCCCAGACCCACCAAGCCTTCTGCCCTCCGGGAAGGTGCGCTTGCCCTGATACCACCTCCTCTCATACAAATGGAACAACTCTACATATCTATGCTCACATTCATGGGAAAGACGGAATGATTGAACAGTTCTCGTCAAAGGAGGCATACCTCTTGACCTGAACTGAAAAAAAACACGGGATACGAGTGTCTTCAATCTCTGAAAGCGGTTGACTCTTGGCGCCGCTCGTTTGTCTCTCGTCCTGCTCTTAAGGTTCTGATGAGTCACTGCAAAGCATCTGGCAGTTGCGCCTGTAACAGCGCATCTTACACGATTATCTTCACTACATCTGCAGAGCGCCTATCCATACTTCACTGCTTTGTTTACGCAACTGTCTGGGCTCTGAGAGCTCACGAACCGCTCCTGATGTACTACCGTTCCTCATTTTTGACAATGCAGTAGGAGTTCCATCCACATCTTGTTTTGCGAGCCCAGAAAGTTCAAGTTTTCGCCAAAAGAATGCGGAGCTATGAGCCAAGGGCAGGGCTGTAACCTGCAGCTGACCGGTACACCTAGGGCACGTCGTATATTAGAGATCCCCATTGAAGAGGGAAGCATCTGGTCACTAGAGGGGACAGAGTCGGAGACTTTGGTATCTGATGGTTGGTTTCTGCACTTTCTCGCGCACCATGTACCCAATATACCCCACCGAAGAAGGAAATTGGGAACTGGGGTCTTATTCGATAAAAATTCTCTTCAACGGCAGGATTGGCCTAGGTTACACCACCACGGCTGCTTTCAGCCCTCTCAGCTCCTCTTATGCTATGACTTTACAGCACTTTAACGCAATGAGCCTGTTCAACAGCTTTCTGTCAGTATGTTTCTTCTGATATTCGCTATGAGGGTGATGCTACTAGTAGCTCATGTGGTTCTAAATCTGTGAATTGAACGCTTCTGACCTTCTCGCTTTCATATTGTTCTGCATAACTTTCTGATGTTGGATCTCCACGAAGGTGCAGTATATAGTCGATACTTTGTTAGTTCGCGGTCAGATAAGGTCAAAAGTGCAAGTAACAGGCCTATTCAATAGGTATGGATCACACAGGCTGCGTTCATACTTTTTAGCACCCACGAGCGACTAGCAGCGTCCACGACTACGGGGAGATAGGAGACCCCCCCCCCCCCCCCCCCCCCCCCCCCCCCCCCCCCCCCCCCCCCCCCCCCCCCCCCCCCCCCCCCCCCCCCCCCCCCCCCCCCCCCCCCCCCCCCCCCCCCCCCCCCCCCCCCCCCCCCCCCCCCCCCCCAGAAACACAGTTCGTATGCCTCTCCGGTATCCTCTTATCTCCTCATATTCCCCCAGCCGTCAGCTACCCTCCGATCGCCCCATGCTCTTCACTCCTGGGCACAGCTCTTCGTGCTGGAGGACGATAAAAGCTGCTGAGCGCTGATGGTCGCAAGTGGACGGTGGTGGACGCTGGTAGACGCTAGTGATCGCTGAATCGATATTCATACTTTCTTAGTCGCTGACGCTGCCGAACGCTGCTGGTCGCTGATGGACGCTGCCGCAAAGTATGAGCGCAGCCTTAGGATAGACCAATTAATCGTCAGAGCGATGTCGAGGCCAGAGGTCAAGCACTACGTCGAGGAAAATCTCCCGGTTGGTGCAATCCCCTCTAGAAAGATGGGTTCATACGACCGCGCTCCATACAGAGTGTCGGTGTATCTGCCCAATGACTGCGATTGTATCGCGTAAGAACGGAGCGCTGCATAGCCCGCTGGACTTCCACTAAGCTTTAGTCCTACTTGGACTGGGTCGAGGCAACACTCTGTTCTCGAAGGGATGCAATTACCTCTAGCCGCCCCCTCAGGTATATGCAGTTGGAAAAAAAACCCAAAAGTGGCTATGATTTTCACCATAGGGTTAATATTGCCTCACTTATCAATACAACGATTCTTTAGACGCCAGCGCAGGTGGCTCTTCGATGGGCCGTACAGTTGGATGTACATGTCATCCCCAAGTCTACATCTGAAGGTTTGTTCTAACCGAGAATTTGACGTCGTTTTTGTTGTATTATGTGTAGCCGTAGATGTAAAACATTTTGTTTGACGGGAACGACTCAAAATAGCTGTCTTTTGGAGCATTTTTGCACGTTTAGCTCGTATCAAAGAAAACGCGGAGCTATTCGACTTTGAGTTGACGGAAAGTGAGATGGACGAAATCGAAGGTTTGGATCGCGGCTGGCGAATTGTCAACCTCACTGCTCGGGATGGTGATCACCCACATTTCCCATTCTTGGAGGAATTCTGATACATTCCCTTCATCTCTGTTCCACTTAATTTTCTTCTACATCAATCGATATTGTGCCTATTGATCGAAAAGTTAACAATTAAATATAATAAATTATGAGGAATTTCTCATGTTATGGACTACACGAACAATTCGCCTTTCACTTATGCGGCTGTGCACAGCTGGCTATAGTCCGCTACGGCATAAGGGTAGTGAAAAATCGGCGCAGTTCGGCGACGGGGGGGCATTTTGTACCATCATTGCTGAATTGTCTCCTGAATTCACCGACGCCTTGATTGATTTGCTGCCAATAAGTACAACAAGCGGTGGCACATTTGACCATATCTGACCAGACCGCGGCTGCACTTTTAAGAGGTTTGTAGCTTTCGAGATGCCGGAGAATCTTGAACATATGGAGATGGGTCGAGCTCTGCCTCTCTCTGTTCGAATTTTCAGCAGTGGCAAGCAGGTTCCAAATCAAGACGTGGAAAGTTGCGGGTTACTAAGTCAGCCTAAGGAGCCCTGGTCCCTGGCAACGATAGAGCGTGTTGACGCGGCGCAGTCTGACGAACGCAGCCAGGCCCGCCTGTATCACCATCGTCGTCTTCTGAGCCGGCTGGGGATGCTTGGATAGCGCTCAGTCAAACTCATGCTCTATCTTTTAGCCAACATGCGCTACATGTGCAGAACAGCGATTCTTGAAATGTGAAACGCAGGACAGGGAAAATAACTGCCATCGAGCCCGTCTCTTTTGCATGCGCGTTGCGTTCTTCGTTTGGCGTTCGTTCGTGGGGGGGCAGTTCAACGCTCTGCATGCGGCCTACACTAGTAACTTAAGTGGACTAGGGGGCTCGCCAAGTCGGCGCCTGGTGTGTTCTGTTCCTCTCGGCCCACCCCTCAGACGGTGACCCGCGGACAAGTTGATGGTCTTGGTTGACTTGCCGGGGGTGACTTGCGCCGCGCAGGGATAACTACTCGCAAGTCATCTTACCATTTTAAGGCGAGAATATCGTATGTTACAGGCGAAAATGTGGATGTTTACCTGATGGGTGTTACGCGCGGAGGCCATGGTCCAGCGCGGTTATGCCATGTAAGCAGAAACAACTGTTGAAAACGCTCCAATTAAGATCCTTAGCTCTAGAAAACTGCGAGCATACGGTGAGGGAAGTGTGTGTCCGGACGTGTTCCTTTGGTAATATCACGAGGAGATCAGCTCTTCTACCTACTACGCCATTTTCACCAGTGGAATGCGACGATGCGGGCGATGTGGGTTGGTATGGGGCCCAAGGGCTTGGGTGTTAAGCCTGCACTATGATTCCGGCTCATTCCCAAGCCGTGGAAAGGTCACATTCTTGGTTGTTGTGGACTCATGTGGCCTTTCACGTGGATTATTGTACTTCTCCGCTAACTGTGAAATGTGCCTTTAAGGCGCCTTGCCTGCGAAACTATCCAAAGCTATCCAACTGACGGTTAATAGAACTTCGCCGGATCCTTGTCAGGCTTTCTCGGAATGGTTGCGTCGGTAGCGAAATATCGGAACGAACACCTAGTCAGGGGTAGAGAACAATCGGACGTGAGAGGGCGCAGGCAGACAACGCATCTGGCCGTGGTTAGGCGTGGCTGGAGTCCGGAAACGGCACATTAATCACCGTCACAATTTCATCACCCTCCAGGCCGATTCCCGTGCACTTTTCAGTGAAGAAAGTGCCACCTTACTCTAGCTGCGGGCCTGTCTTCGCACATATGAAAACCTGGACCTTCGGATGCGAGAGCACAGTTTGTCTTCAAAGGCGCGCCCCACGTCCATAAATGTTCAGACGCCTTCTTTAGATATGGCAGTCCTGTCGGCAAGGATTTTCGCAGCTGGAAAGTGCGTTGAAAAGCGCGATCCGCTCGCGACGAAGTCACCGCTCCGCCCACCGGTCACCGCAACGCCCAGCGGTCATTTCCAAAGCTACCTAGTGCTGCGTTTGTGCTGCTACGGA